AGTCCAGGGACAAGGGCCAGAAGGCACAAGGGGACAAGGAAGCTGGTAATAGGGAACCCAGGATTGAGTAAAGATAGTGTTAATGTGTTGTGAGGTTGTTACCATTGTCATAGGGCAACATGTGTACTAACTGTTAAATGAGAAACTATTTTGTTCTGCAAGCCTTCATCTAAAGTGAGAATAGCAGCACAATTGGAAAAGCGTAGTCGATGTCACTAAACTGTGCATGTAGAAATATTTGAAATGGTGTATCTTTGGCTATGGACATTTTCACCAAAAAAAAAGGTCGAGAAGGGAGAGAGTTGACATGTTGTGGAGTTGTTAACCAATGTCATAAAACAGTATGTGTACTACTGTTTCATGAGAAACTATTTGTTCTGTAAGCCTTCACCTGAAGTACAATTAAAAAAAAATTTATGCATACACTGTTATGACTCTAATTGCTTTCCCCATACTGTGACAACACATTCCTCCTTTCCGCCCCTGATTCCTCATGCTCATTCAACCAGCTCCTAGCCCTCTCTGCCTTCCCATTTCACCTCTGGACAGAAGCTGCCCATTTAGTCTCTTGTATCTACTTCAGCTAAGAGGCATACTCCTTGTGAGTATCATTTTATGTCCCACAGTTCAGTCCAATCCCTGTCTGAAGAGTTGGCCTCGGAAATTGTTTTAGTTCTGGGCTGATAGAGAATCCAGGGGCCTTGCTTTCTGGGGTACCTCCAGGCTCAGTCAGACCATTAAGTCTTGTCTTCTTACTAGAATTAGAGTTCTGCACCCCACATTTCTCCTGCTCCATCTGAGACTCTCTGTTGTGTCCCCTGTCAGGGTGGTCATTGGTGGTAGCCACACCCCATAGGTTTCCAAGCAGTGGCTGGTGGATAGGAACTACAAACATTTTGGTTAGCAGCTGAGCTCTTAACCACTGTGCCACCAGGGCTCCATAGTAGGTGTTTAACATCTATTTGTGGAGTGACTGAGGAGTGCCCTCCAGACTCACCCCCGTGGCAGCCTGCATTGCCCCTTCCACCTCAGGCTCAGCCTGAGGCCGACACTTTAATGGTGAAGTCCAGGAGTTTGCCAACACTGTCCTCTATGTCTCTGGCTCTTCATCCCAGTGGGCACATGCTCCCAGCCATCCCCAGAGCCCTACCAGGGGTGCATGGAACTACAGGATATATATGGCACAACTTCCTGGAGATAGACCTGGCTCAAAGATTTGTAGTGAGAGTTGGGGTGAGGGGAGTTAGGTAGTTTAACTGGTAGTCAATTTAAAGTGTTACTTTTACAGTAAAAATGGCACTAAGATGCTGTGAAATAGATTTTAAAATTTATATGACTTCAATGATAAAACATAAGACTTCAAAAGACATCTCCTGTATGCAGCAAGCTACTTAAAAATGGCATCTTCTTTCCCAGTGGTGGCACCACCCTCATCTTCTTTTGCCCTCAGGCTTGGTTGGGAGATGATGAGGGCCCCTCCCTCATCTTAGCTGTAGGTGCCTTTTCCTTCTACCCCCACCAGGGAGCACAGAAAAACTGTTCTGGTACTGGGCTCCTCTTGTTCTCTGTCCTGACTTGCTCTTTGCACCGTGTAGCTCAGCCTGGGTTTTAATTGGCTGTATAATTGGTTCCCTTCCTGTGTCCTCATCCCCATAGTAGTTTGCTCTGCTGAAAATCCTGCAGCCTCATCTCATGCTACCCATGTGTGATGGTTAAGGTTGTGTGTTGACTTGGCTGGGCCATGATTCTCGGTGGTTTGGCAGTCGTTTGATGTTGTGATCACTTCCATGATGAGACTGGATATAATGTGATCACCTCCATGATGCGATCTGCTGTGAGTAGCCAATCAGTTGCAAGGGAGTTTCCTTGGGTGTGTGGTCTGCATTGAATTTAGGTAGACATTCTAGCAAGTCTCATGGGCTTTTGCTCACTCTGAGTCCTGCAGCTGGCTCTTGTTTGTCTGACCCCTGGTTCTTGGGTCTTGAGCTAGCAGCTTACCTGTGGTCTTGCCTGCCGATATTGGGATTCCTTAATCTTCATAGCCTGTGAGCAAGAGCCCTGCTCTCTGCCTGCTGATCTTAGATTCACCAGCACCTGCAGCTACGTGAGTCAGGAGAAGCCTCTATCCTGACTCACAGACCTGGGACGTTCCAGCCTCTACAACCGCGTGAACCGTTTCCTTGATATAAATCTCTCTCTATATGTATTTATATGCTTTACTGATTTTGCTTCTCTAGAGAACCCAGCCTAAGACACCATGCTTCAGTTCCTCTCTCACCCTTGCTACCTCAGGGCCTTTGTCCCTGCTGTTCTCACCTATTGGAATGCTCCTCTGTGCCTACGTCCTCCTCATCGGTGAGGTCTCAGCTGAAACATCACATCCTCAGAGAAGACTTGCTTGCTCCTGGACCCTTTTTGTACTCTTAGATCAATAAACTTCTTCATTGCACTTTTCCCATAATTAATTATACACACAAGTACGTAAACAATTTGTTATGTATTAGTGTGCTATTAGTTAGATAATGATCTCTCCCACCAAGTTTCAAAAGGGCAGGAACCATAGTTTTATTCCCTCTGTGTCTAACACATAGTAGGTGCTCAGAAAATACCTCTTTTGTGAACTAAACAATAAATCCTGGAAACTCTGATCCCAAGCTGTCCAAATCCCAGAACTTCTGGCCAATACCAACATCCAGTGTGTCAAGGGAATTGCTAAGTGCTCTAAAAAAAAGTGAGCAAGGAAGCAGCTATTACCCACATGGTGACAACTATGGGGCCGAGGCTCACCTTTCAGCCTTCTATCTCCCCAACCCTGCACACCCCTGGCTTCACCCAACCGACTCTGCTGCCTATCTGGGACGCTGGCCCTTGTCTGGGCAGGGGCTCCTTACCTTTGGGGCTGTTGGGTGGAGGGGACAGCACAGTCGGTGCAGAACTGGGGCACTGTTGGGGTGCAGGCAGCAGGCAGCAGGACCCGCACAGCCCCACTGGGCAGTGTCGGGAGCTCAGAGGAAGTGCTCACGAAGACAGCCACATTCTCCATGGGTCCAATGGTCCCCAGGTTGACCACGAACAGGATCCGCTCCAAATCTTCATCCAAAGCAACCTTTCCCGGTGTGCAGGAATGAAGGGGAATGGGAGCCCCCTCTTGCAGAACGTTTCCTAGGAGCCAGGCCTGGCATCAGGGGCTATGCATATATTATCTCTAGTCCTCTTTTACTGATGGGAAAACTGAGGCTCAGCATGGGGGTGCAACTTGCCCAAGTTACTCAGCGAATAACTAAGTCACTGAACCAGGATTTGAACCCACATAGACCTGATCCAGGCCTGTGTACTTTCTGCTGTACCTTGCTGGGGGTGGGAGACATGAACTCACACAAAACACCTAACAGAGGGTCACATCTCCATCCTGTTGACTCTACTTCCCCCCAAGCACCAAATTCAAGCATCGCCCCACACTTGAGGTCCATGCTTTCGCCCACACTCTTTCCTTTTATCTGAAAGACCAGCTCCCTCATTCCTCTTCAGCCAGTCTTACCCATCCATCCAACTCCTCCATGAAAACCTCCCAGGTCCCCAGTCTGGGACCCTCTCTCTCTCCTCTAACACTATCCAGACCTCTCCTGGTACAGTCACTTTCTGCTTCCTATCATGGTTACTCCTTGGCACGTCCTAGCTATTCTTTTAGGCTGAGAGGAGTTGTAACAAGTTGAGGGCAACTTTGACAGTACGCAGAGAAAGTGTTCATTAAAAGATTCTTGAATGTCTTAATAATCAGATGAACAAACTTGCCTTGATCATAGGTCCAAAGGTAAGAATCACATATCATGTGATACTTGTTCTGGGTTTAAGCCCTGGCTCTTCTACTGACATGCTGTGCGACCTTGAGCCAGCTGCTCACCCTCTCTGAGTCTCACTATCCTCAGTAGCAGGTATCACCAGTCACCCTTTGAGTACTAAATCTGTGCCAGGGACTGTGATGTGTGCTCTGCATGAATTTTTTCCACTGATCATCAGGCGGGCATAATTATCAGTTCCATTTTACAGAAGAGGTCTAATTTCTACCCAAGTTCACATACCTTGTAAGCAACAGGACAGGGAGTCAAACTCTGGTGTGACACATTCCACAGCCTCTGAGTTTAAATGATATGCTATTCTGTTCTGCAAAGATATCTGAAAAACTCTTTTGGAGCTGCCTCTGAGCTCATCACACTTGTGAGGTGAGAACAGGAACAATTACCTCTATTATGTGGACAGTGAAACTGAGGTTCCAAGAAGTTAATTATTGGCCCAAGGACACACAGGATTCCATCTCAGGACTCCTGGATCCTACTCCAGTGCTCTCTCTACGCAATCCCATAGCTGTTCTTGCCTGACACTCCAGCCCAGGCACCCTCCAGCCAGGACAGGCTGCACCGTGGCCCCTTCCGGCCTCCTTACCTGTGAGTGTTGAGGCTCGGACACAGGTGGCATCCACATGGCTGCTCTCCAGCTTGGCTTTGTCTTTGATCTGTACCGTGACGACACGTTCAGCAATGACTGCCTCAAAGCCTATCACCGTGGTGTGCTCGTCCAGGGGGTACACGAAGAGGCCTGCCGGAGCAGGGCCAACATCATGGGGTGTCCTGCCCCACCCTGCATGCCCCACCCCTGGGAAGGAACCTGAGCCTTTGACCTGCCTGGTGGATGGCTCACACTGCCAGAGAGGGTTCTGCAGAAAGCCGGGGTGGGGCCTCCGATGCCTCTGGGGCTAGTTGGGTGTTTGCAGCAGCAGGTAGTAAGTGGGCAGCGGGGCGAATGGAGAATCAGCAGCTTCCCCCCGGTTCCAGCTAACTTATTCTGCAGGTGTGTGAGCCCAGTGTGGCCAGAGTTTCTGATTTTTCAAGAGTGATTGGAAACCTGGATTTTATAACCTCTTGTGCGGGCCTAATAAAACACATCCATGTGGTGGATTTGGTCCATGACCATCAGTTTGCCACCTGGAGTGATGAAGAGCTGGGGTTTTGGAGAAAGGGACTAGGGTTCTGACCCAGATCCTGCCTTGTTTACTAGCTGGATGACCTTGGATAAGGCATTTAGCTTCTCTAAGCCTCTGAGTTCATCTGTAAGATGGGGATAATAAAGCCAAACACATAGGACTGTTTTGAGAAGTGAAAGATAGCCACCATTTAGTAACCTCTGTGCTCCATATTATGTGCCAAACATTTTTATATTTCAGTGTTTCTCGAACTCCAGTGTGCACATAAGTCACCTGCAGATGCTGATTTAGTAAGTCTTGGGCAGGGCCTGAGACGCTGCGTTTCTAATCAGTTGCTAAGCGATGCCAATAACTTGGGGGCCACGCTTGGAGTAGCAAGCTCTTATCTCATTTAATCTACCCAATAACACTGGGACAGCACCATGATGGGCCCAGGGTGAGCCCTCCACAAATGCTGGCTTCCTCTTCCTCTGAACCTCAGTTTCCTCATCTACAAAATAAGAAGACCAGTTATTTCTGCATTTGGAAAGTCAAAGGACTGCCCCAAAGTTGTTCAGTAATTTAATTCCCTGAGCTTCCAGGTGGGTCCTATTTTAAGCCACCCTCCCTGTTGTTATTAGCTCCCATCGAGTCAGCCCCCAACTCATGGTGACCCCATGTACAACGGAACGAAACATTGCCTGGTTCAAACTGCTGTGATCCATAGGACTTACAGAGGCTGATTTTTGGAAATAGATTACCAGGCTTTTCTTCCTAGTTCGTCTTAGTCTGAAAGCTCCACCAAAACCTGTTAAGCATCATAGCAAGCCACAAACCTCCACTGACAGACGAGTGGTGGCTCTATATGAGGTGCATTGGCCAGAAATGGACCCCCAGTCTCCCACATGGAAGGCGAGAAATCTGCCACTGAATTACCAATGCGTCTCTCCCTAGGGTTCCTCAAATGAGCAACAAGGCCATTTGCCCTGCCTAGAAGATTTCTGAGGGGAAGAAAGTTTCCCTGCAGGTTCTTTTCGGGTAGTGTTGGCCCCCAGGGCATTGAAATGGTTTCAGAACATCAGGCCGGCTGGGGGGTTGTCCCAAAGACATGAAACGTAGGGCTTAGGAGCTCTGTCACTGTAGTGAGAAGGGCATCCTACCCACAGTAATCCTTCCACGCAGAGCCCAGCACCCTCCTGAAGAGGCCTTCCTGTGACTCCCTTCTTGAATATGAAGAGAGGAGTTTGATTTACACTCGACTCTGCAGGCAAACACCCATCCACCTTCCTAAATGCCCCACACTGATGATTCATGTTTGCAGACTGTTTGCCAGTCCACACTGTCCTTCCTCATGCATTACCTCATCTGCTCACCACAGCCCCAGGCAGGACAGGTGGGGAGGAGCACCCTGATTTTGAGAGGGGCAGTGGTTTCCCCAATGTTAGGGGCAGAGACACACCTAGAATGGGGGCATCTGGCTTTGCCCAAATCTTGGTTACTCTACTACTGCAAGGCTCCCTGGAGAAGGTATAGACTGGCCATTTGACGCAGGGGCGTGCCTTGTGAAAGGCATAAAGTGCTGGGACAGCTGGCTAGAATGAAGGACTGGAGCTGAGCCCAAGCCTGAGTCCAAATCCTGATCATACGTGTCACTAACTTTGAAGCCTGCAGGGCAGAAATGGTATTCCCATTTTACAGATAAGGAAACTGAGACTCAGAGAGATTGTAATGTCAATCAGCCAGCAAATGGCAGGACAGGGATTCAACCTGGAGGATGGGGTGGCCCTGGGGATGCCCCAACAAGGGTTCTTACCCTGGAAAGGCTGAGCTTCCAGGTTGCCATAGGTGAGGGAGGCGGTCAGGCCCAGGGCGTAGCCACTGACGAAGGAGGTGACATGGGAGGCGGTGAGGGGCAGGGCTGCCCCTGTGGCCCGGTTCAGCAGGCCGGGCATTCTACCGGCTACTCAGCCCTCAGAGCCTGCAAGAGACAAGAAGGGCAGGAAGTGAGGAGAGGCTCCTGTTATGGACTGTATTATTTCCCCCAAAAATGTGTGTTGTAAATTCTAACCCCCTATACCTGTGGATGTAATCTCGTTTGTGAATTGGGCTTTCTTTGTTATGTTAATGAGGCCATATCAGCTTGGAGTGTGCCTTAAGCCAATCACTTTTGAGATATAAAAGAGCAGATTAGGCACAGAAGCAAGCACAAGTGGGGAAAAATTGATGCCATGTGGCGATCTCTAAGGAATCGAGGAAGAGAAGCTGAAAGAGACAAGGATTTTTTACCTAGAGCAGATAGAGACAGCCTTCCCCTAGAAGTACCTCCCTGAATTTGGAGTTCTAGCCTCCTGAACCATGAGAAAATAAATTTCTGTTCGCTAAAGCCATCCACTGTGGTATTTTTGTTATAGCAGCACTAGGAAACTAAGACGCCTCCCATTGTTCGCCAGCCCAGCTTTCTGATCTCAGACCCCACAGGTAATCAGAGCATCATTTTCTCCATTTTCCTCCAAAGATTTTCCGGTTAGTGATTCCTTGATAATCATCAATCATCCCTGAGAAGCTGGGAGATGGTAATTATATTTCCATTTCACAAGTAGAGAAACTGAGACCTGGAGAGAGGTGACCTGCCCAAACTCTCGATGGGTTGGAGCACAGGTCCAACCTGGAATTCTCTTCAGCAGCCCCTGCTCTCCTAACTCTGGATGGGAGTAGAGAGACCCAGGCTCTGTCCCCAACCCTTTTTGAGTCCTGTAATCCCCTGAGCCTCAGATGTTTCCTCTGCAAATTAGGGGACTAGACTAGTTCTCCAAGTCCCTTCTTCTCTGACTTCAGAGGAGCATCCCAGAAGACCCACAGTGAAGGGAGCCCGCAGTCTTCCATGTGTTCAGACCCCAAACCTGGGAGTTGCTCCTGATGCTTCTCTCTTGCCACCCCTCATCCCCAATCCATCACCAAGTCCTATGATTTTATCCTGGAAAAGCCCTTGTATCCATCCACTGCTTTCCTTCTCTACCACCAGCATCCTTGTCCAAACCACCACCATCTCTACTTGGACTGCAGCTCCTAACTGATCTTTTGAATATACTCTTCTTTCCAGGAATCCAATCTCCACCCAATAGCCAGAGTGAAGGTAAAACTAGTTACTGCTGAGTCACAGTAGAACTGTGCTCCATAGGGTTTTCAATAGCTGATTTTTCAAAAGTAGATCACCAGGCCTTTCTTCTGAGGCACCTCTGGATGGACTCACACCTCCAACCTTTCCATTAGTAGTCAAGCATGTTAACCATTGGTACCACCTGGGACTCTAGAGTGAACGTAGCAACATACATATCAGACAGGTCCCCCGTAGCCTCTGTCACCCCCTTTACCCTCTAGTGTCTTCCCATTGGTCCTCAGATAAAGACCAAAACCCTTAACATGGCTTAAGGCCCTGCCTGGTCTGGGCCCTGCTGTTCTCCACAGCCCATCAGTCACCACGTTCCCCCAAACATACTTTGCTGATCTTGCCAGCTTCCTTTCCATTCCTCAGATGTGTCCTCCTCTCTCTGGCCATTGTCCTTGCCACTCCACCTGGAAGGCTCACCCCATGACCCATTTTTTTAAACTAGTAAGCCTCCTACTCATCCTTCAGTTTCAACTCTGAGTTACATCCTCAGGGAAGCCTGACCACCTGTGCCCTGCATCCTCCATCACCCTCTCATAAAGTCGATTTCTCCCCCTCAGAGTGTTTCCATCAGTTTGTAGTGATACATTTTGTTTTCCTGTGATTATTTTGTGATTGTCATCCCTTTTAGAGTGTATGCTCCTGGAGGGCAGGGACCACATCTATTTTTGCTAGCCATTGTATCCTCAGTGCTGGCAGACTGAATGAATGAGAATGAATGGCTGTCATCATTTCAACAGTGGACCAACAGTCTATTCCAAGGACTTCATAGTACTTATCAGGGCAATATACCAATTATCTAGCTCCTTAGAAGTGAGGCTAGCAAGACTTCAGCTTGCTTACTTTGGACAGGTCGTCAGGAAAGACCAATTGCTAGAAATAGACATCATGTTTGGTAAAGTAGAGGGTCAGCGAAAACAAGGCAAACCCTCAATGAGATGGATTGAAATAATAGCCACAACACTGAACTCAAATGTACTAACAATTATGAAGATGGCTCAGAACTGGGCAACATTTAGTTCTACCGTACAGACGGTCGCCATGAGTCAGCGTCAACTTGATGCCAACTAAGAAAACAGCATTAGACTCCTGAGATCCTCCCAAGGAATCATGTGCCTTTGGAGCTGAGGTAGGAATGAAAGGCAAGGTCAAACAAAGAGTGTGGAATGCAAGTTTGAGGTCATGTTCTCTCTGCAGTTTTCCTCTCTGGTATATGAGCCATGAAAACCTTCCACGGGCTGCTGGCCTGTTGCCATTTATTTTCAAGGCTGTTTGATGAGTGCTGCTTGCTCTGCCCTTTCTGGAAGAAGGAAACTCTTGTCCTTTAGGTCCTTTTCATCTCCCCAGCTAAGATCCTGGGGAGTTCCCTACCTCTCTGCCAGGCCAGGAGTCTCTTTTGAATTATGTTCTGTTTTGTGGCTCAGGTCGAGACAGCTCTCAGCCCTGGCTTATCTGCTGTCAGGGTGATGGACAGCAGGAGATAGATAAGGCACCAGGAGGGAGCAATATTCTCTCAGGAGTTCTCTGTCCTGGTGGCCAGAGTAAAGCCTGCCTATTCTATTGGAGCAGAACAAAATGGCGGACTTCATTTCCTGACTGAGCCCTGTAGCCAGTCACCCACCTTCTCTCCCTCTTCCTTCTCATTCTGGTTCACACTTATCCAGAATGCTGATTGAGGAATACAGCTTCAGTCTACCATGGGACTTATCCATCTTATCCAACAGTCTTCCCACACTGTCCCTGGGGTCCATCCCAGGTTTCCTGGAGAGGCCCTTCCTCCAGGGAGTGGAACTTGGATAAGAGATGTCAGATAACAAAGGGCAGACTCACTGAGAACTGATCCTTTAAGAATTCCCACCCTCTTGGAAAGAGTACACGTTAAATCCTGTGGTGTCTAATTAATCTAATTTTTCATCAATTCATCAAGCATTTATAAGTACCCACTAGTCCCTGGGGGGTGCAAACAGTTAAGTGCATGGCTACTAATTGACAGGTTAATGGTTTGAACCCACTCAGAGGTGCCTTGGAAGAAAGGCTTCCAAAAAATGACAACCATAAAAGCCCTATGGAGCACAGTTCTACCGTGACACAGATAGTTGACTCACTCAACTGTTTTTTTTTTTTTTACTGTTCCAGGCCCTGAATAAGACCCCGGAGATACAAAGATAAGACATAGGTCCCATTCTCAAGGAGTGTATAATCCAGTGGCAAGAGAAATTTAGGGGTGGGGGAATAGTAACAGGAGCTGGAATTTACTGAACACTGAAAATGTGGCAGACACGTGTACTATCTCATTTAATCTCACAGCCTTATAAAGTATCATTCTTTTGCAGATGAGGACATTGAGGCCTCAAGAGAAATGTGCTTGCCTGATTTTAGTGTGATAGGGTCAGAATTTATTCTGTGTTTACATTCCCCACCTCCTTCCCTGATCTGTCAGACAACCTGTCTTTGTCTGCCCAGGTCCTTGGTTTTGGAGGATGCTGATCTGGAAAATGGGCTGGAGAGGTGAGAGCAGACAGGAAGGGGATTAAACAAAGGTGTCATAGGCTGGGGCTTGGAGAAGAGAGTGAAGAGTGAAGAATAGAAGGGAGAAATCTCCAACAAAACAAATAAACAAAACAAACAAAAAAATGAAAACAAACAAACAAAAACCTCTTGCCATCAAGTCAATTCAAACTCATGGCAATCCTCTGTGCATCAGAGTAGAATTATGCTCCATAGGGATTACTTGACAGTAAACAGAAACAGATTGCCAGGCCTTTCCTCCGTGATGCTTCTAGGTGGATCTGAACCACCAACCTTTCAGTTAATAGCTGAGAGCAGACTGTTTGCACCACCCAGAAACCTCTAGGGAGGGAAAGAGAGTATTAAAGAGCAAGGAGTCTTCTAGAGGCCTTAGAACAGCCATGAGGCTTGGGAGAATTGGCGCAGGGAGGAAGGATCTTAAGAAGGGTTACCCTAAGTTATAAATTTACTCCCATTTAATGTTTGTTAAGAGCCACAAAGAAAGATTAGAATTATTTGGGGTGCTGGATTATGTTTCTTTGAATGAAATGTTGTGCTAAACCTGTACCTGCCATCTGTAACTACTTGTCTCCCTCACCAGGCTGTGAGCTCTGTAAGAGCAAGCAAGGACATCTTCTTCTTTAAGGTGCCCAGCTCCCAGCACAGCACGCAGTTCAGAGGAGAACTCAATTGATGAGGGCATCTACCAGGGTCTTGCCTTCCATACTGGAGATCCAGGTTCAATGTCATGGATTGAATTATGCTCCCCCTCTCCAAAAAAAATGTGTGTATCAATTTGGCTGGGCCATGATTCCCAGTATTGTGTGATTTGCCTATATGTTGTAAATCCTGCCTCTATGATGTTAATGAGGGAGGATGGGCGGCAGTTGTGTTAGTAAGGCAGGACTCAATCTACAAGATTGGATTGTGTCCTGAGGCAATCTCTTGAGATATAAAAGACAGAAGTGAGCAGTGAGACAGGGGGACCTCATATCATCAAGGAAGCAGTGCCGGGAGCAGAGCGCGTCGTTTGGACCTGGGGTCCCTGCACAGAGAAGCTCCTAATCCAGGGGAACATTGATGAGAAGACCAACAGAGAGAGAAAGCCTTTCCCTGGAGCTGATGCCCTGAATTAGGACTTTTAGCCTACTTTTACTGTGAGGAAATAAATTTCTCTTTGTTAAAGCCATCCACTTGTAGTGTTTCTGTTATAGCAGCACTAGATGACTAAGACACCTAGCAACCACCTGTCTGTCTGTGGAGGCTTGAGTGTCTATA